CCCTTATTATGTCTTGTATATCACCGAAATAAGATGTACTCGACAACATGGATACAATGTAGTAAGCACACTCAATGTGGCAAAGAAATGAGTTGAAACCGACAGCTGATTCATTAGTTCCTCTATGATCCATGACTGTCTTGGCAGTATACCATTTGGCTCAGAGAAGATAATTATTGCCCCATTGTTCATCTACTTCATCATTTGGTGTGCACCATCCCATCAAACAGTGAGATTGCTCTAGTCTCTCTTTTGTATTCTTGGATGGCTTTAACCAGATATTAAATTAGGATATTGTAGCTGGTAAAAGTCTGGGATTCCTATACAGGCTTTTTTTATTTGTAGAAAATATCATTTCCTATAATCCGAAGCCTTTTCAGACTTGAATAGAGCAGTATGAGTAAAGGGCAGTACACACTTCAGCAGAAAACATAAAACCCTGCAATATGATATCCTATGGTCATGGTATCAACATTTTCTCAATTTTATCCACGTTGTTGTATATTAAGGTCAACTGATTGTCCCAAGAGCAATGAGCTAGGCCTGCTGAATAACAAGAGATTCGATGAGATATCTGTTACGAAATATTTCCTATTTCTCTGATTAAGTTCGTAAAAGTGTCCATTTTCTTTATTTCATCACGTAAAACACTAATGAGCAATCTTTATTAAATAACACAAACAGACTAGACTGTCTAAATGTAACATTCCTTGCTTAACAGGTAAGATTAGTTTTATCCAAAGCGACTAAAGTTATCCACGTGCTGGTCATTCTCGTTCAAACATAATGGTTTGTTTGTTTTTGAATTTCGCGCAAAGCTACACGAGGGCTATCTGTGCTAGCCGTCCCTAATTTAGCAGTGTAAGACTAGAGGGAAGGCAGCTATTCATCACCACTCACCGCCAACTCTTGGGCTACTCTTTTCCCAACGAATAGTGGGATTGACCGTCACATTATAACACCCCCACGGCTGAAAGGGCGAGCATGTTTGGCGGGACGGGGATTCGAACCCGCGACCCTCAGATTGCGAGTCGAGCGCCGTAACCACCTGGCCATGCCGAGCCCAAACATAATGGCGTTTGTAAACTCGAGATATTACCTGATCGGCTACAAGAGGACACACCTGTCTATATCTTTGCACAATGTGAAGTTTCTCATACCTTACGTGAGTAAAACAGGTTTTATCTTCAGAGAATGAAAGGGAACAAAGTCAGCTAGAGCGAAATAAACGATTTCTTGACCAATTATTTCTAACCCTAAGAAATTTAAATGTGTTGGTAAAATAACTTGTTCAAATAGTAGATCCGCGATGCAGAAAAAGTTATCTGAAAAGATCTGATGGCATTGTTTGCTAACAGCAGGCATCCATGCAAGATCAATTACTGATACAGCGATAAAAAATGCGGTTGGATACCATTCACGATTTTGACCTTGAGAAATACTGACTTTCATTGCTATGATTTTATAATAAAATTTACTGATCAGATTAGAGCCCCTTGATTTAATTTCCACTAAGAGCAACCACGTTTATGTAATATCCATAATTTCTTAATCTCCTGTGAAATCAATGTACTACAATGATTATTAACTTGTATTAATCAAAAATACTTTACAATAGTGTGTTATTGAACAAACCGACTACAGAAGCTGACATGTTTTCACTGCCTCCTTTCAGTATACAAATTCAGAAAACATCCATTTTAAACCAAATTGACCTTTGTGACTTTTAAAATTACCTTCAAGGTCAAAATCGAGGATAGTATCCACCATATCGTTTTCCTCACCCTGAGACTAATTGATCTGGCATGGATGCCTTCTTTTAACAAATAATGTCATCACAAGTCTCAAAATCACATTTTGGCTGATCAATTAGAAGCAGCGCCCCTGGTTGGGGAGAGTTTTACTGGGACGTACTGTTTTACTGTCTGAGGGCTCGGTATTACGTTTTTTTTTTTTATAGAATCTATGACTCGTACACCTCACCGTTTCGGAAAAAGAAATATAAAGTAAATCTGAGCTTTTGAACAAAATTCTAGTTTCTTGAGAACATATTCAGAGAAACATCTAATAAGAGTAAGAGAAAAAGCCGTAAAGAATCCAGAGGTACATTCATATCTCATTTCTCGGTATCGCACAAACGAAATCCGCACTTCGATGCTGTGGTGCACTGTAAATGTTACGGTGAAATCTCACTATACGGTCAAACAGTCAAACGTTGGGTAACAGTCTGGCTGTTAATAGCTATATTACTTTTAGTCTATTAGTTCAAAATTAGGGAGGGCCATGAGAAAATTCTAAAATTCTAAACAAACAAAACACGCTTATGAAAGAAAGTTCATTTTCATGTCACTAAAATTGGACGAATTTATGTTTAAAGAAACCAATTGGGTTGTTCATTTTATAGTAAAAAGCAATAGGTAAAGTGGTAGCAGTAAAAAAATAAGTATTTTTGATACTCTTTACATATTTAGGCTATGCAGTGAGAAATTAAGCTTTTATATAATCGATATCATTATGTTTAAATAAACACTATGCTTTTAAAAATAACTGTATTAACAAAGCGTTTTTCAAAAGTTATCGAGGACAGAGATAAATACAACAATGCTGCCATTATTACTTGTATTTTGTATATTTGTATAGCTGATTGATAAAATCAAGTTGTCTGACAGAGTATCAGTAAAGTAGATATAATGTATTTATATAATTTCATTTCGAAAACTCGGTATAGAAGTACAAACTTGTGTTAAGCGCAGAGCTACACTTTGTAGTCGCGGCATAGCGGCTCATAGAATGAATCTGAGTTTTTAGCTCACAGCTCCATCTCTTGACCAATTGGAGATCTAATTACAGCCGCGGATATCGGGAATTCCCTCTTGTTACTATCTGCGCTGTACCAAACGTACTGGTCAAACACATAATTAACTGTCAGGGGTAGTAGCCTACGATCACCTCCGTCTAATTATTTACTACTTCGTTATTAATGTGAAAATTGCTAATCTGCTGTTGTTTCTAGTGAAGTCTCAAAAATAACTATTTCTGCTTTAGATTAGAAACTAGGGGTCTTCTTGATGGAAACGCTGGTTTGCTATCCTCTCGTCCGGGATCTTACGTTCTTCTGACCACTATATTAGGTTGGATGAGTAATGTGTCAGTGAGGTGGACATAGAAGGCTTCTTTTCTAGTGGGTGGGGTTCACATATTTTTATTTTAGTATTATTCATATTTATTATACGACATTCTTCTTCGACTTGATGGGTTATTGTGGTTAGATGAGTAATTTATTACAGAAAGCTAACCTTATATTCTCTAAACTATAGTCTTAACAAATAAAAAACAAACAAACAGGGATTTATTCTTCAAACCCTTCATTTCCAGAAAAGTAGCATTATAGCTTTCTAACTATTTCTTTTTTAGTTTCTTATTTTAATCACGTACGCAGGAGTTTTCGTTGGCGTCACTCAAAAATCAGATATATCAGAAAGTTGGGTCGTTTGGATCGAAACAAATCAGCCACATTTTATTGGACGTAGTTTTAATATATATATTTTATTCGATTCCACACGTTTGAAGAAATGTTATTAATCTTACGAACCATTGATAAGAGTTAGTTCAACCACATTCTTTCAAGAATGATATCATTTATCCAAAATTAATGTCCAACAGACAATCTGAGGAACACATTCTCCTGACGTGACTGAGCTTGTTATATGTTCGAGTCTAAAGAACGTGAAATACGGACTGCGACTGCATGGTGGGATGAAGTGTACAATGTTTCTTTCCCATTGAAGAAAGTTTCAGAACATGAACTGAAACAGGTTATGCTAAACAATGGCAATCAAATAAACAACGCATAGGGTGAGACTCCTATCATTAACGAATCTGTTTTAGTGTAAAATCGATGTTCACTGTTAAGTTTAGAGTATTAACAGCCTAAAGTATATCTGACCTGATTACATAATTTCTACTAATATTTCTGTATACGAGGATGGCTAATGTTTCGTTTTCTTTTACAACTGCTATAAATCCATTACGTTATTTACCTGCAATAACTCCTCACGGAAACTGATAGATCCATTGCAGTGATAACAAGAATAACTCTCGTTAACAATATCTTCTCTGCTTTTCAACACGCTGCTAAGGTAATACAAGTATTGTAACCTGATCGTAAGAGGAAATGTCCAAGAACAACTGTTACTGAAATCGGAATATTTTCTACCTAAATATCCATGTAAGTCATTTCGCAAATATTAGGAAAAGAAATATATAGAATCTGATCAGGGTATAATTACGAGAAAGGATCGGTCCTGTTCAGAAAAATATCTTTGTCAAATATAGGACTGACGTTGAGACGTAAAAAGGAAACAAAAGTATTACCCAGTACACATCCAACTCTAAGCTATGAGAACGCCCCCTGGAGCTGTAATGTGGTTACGATCAGTAGTGTTGGTTAGAACTTTAATGGACTGTAACTGCCTATAGAATGAAAAGGAGTGGCGTTTCGGTTTTTATAAAGTCTTAAAGTTCTGAAAAATACTCTGTTTAATGTTCCACTGATCAACACTTCACTATGTCTGATCTATATGATGTATGAGAACTCATTCAAATCTATTTCACTCGATTCTGTATCTTTATAATGACAAGTTGCTAAAAAAATTTAATTATCTTTAACCGCGACAAACAAGCGGTGATAAAAACATCAAATTTTATTGATTCTACGTATACAACATTTGAAGTTTGAGTGTATTAAACATTAATTAAACGCACAATAAATATTTAGAATGCACACTAAAACCTGTGGTTCACATGTTTTCTTAATAATCATTCACTTCAATAACATGCTCTCATTGTTAAGTTTACTTCACATGAAACTGCTAGTCGATGAAACCTGGGGTCATCGGCACAATCATCGCTTCAAACATCCACAGCCGGCTATCGCTTTCTCGTACTTGTAAAGGTTAGCTTTCACGAAGCGGGAGATTTCCCAGCATGCACTGGCGTTGTGCCTCATGCTGTTTAGAAAGCACGAGCTTCTCAGTTGTCGATTAGCGAACAAGTAAGATGAGCAGCTGTTAAGGGTGGTCATGGCTTTATGCAACACTAGCGTTCCTAGCCGCCCTAACTCCTCACGAAAAAACAGTCATACTTTGGATCCCGACAATAACGGATATGTTCAAGTATTAGTTAAACCTCTTCATGGTAGGAAATGTAGTATTCTATTAAGTTGGTTAGGTGTTCCGAATCTTGTGATTTTGCCGGAACACGCGGCACTCGTGTACGGTGCAGGCGCTGTTATTTGTTGCTGTTTGGCTTATATTGTTGTAGTTTGCGACATAACTGACTTTTTTCAACGTTTTTGCAGATTTACAGTACTTCTTTTTTCAGTATTATGTGCACATTATCTTTTTGCTTTGTACAGTCGTAAGAAAATCAATACCACAAGTTTTTATTTTTTGTTTTGCGCCGGTATTCTCGGCGAAATTGCTGGCCAATGTATTTGTCGCGACGAATCTGAAACCACCACAGACTATGGTGAGCTAGACATAACATCGAAATATGCTAAGAACAGGGATAAAGGCTTAAGTCTGGCAGCTGTAGGCCAGCTGCTTGTGTACTTGGCCTCATTGGCAGGAGCTACCGCCCTTGCCAACGTTCCGGGTCGGCTTGGCACTGGGATAGTTTCATTCTTTGCCCTTGTTCGGCTTGTAGTATTGTTATGTCTTCCTGAACTGCCTGCACGTGTAAGCCCCTTCGTGGCCCACGTGTGTGGACTGTGCGGTGTTCTGCTAGCCAAACATACCGAAACAATGTTACGCCCTCCAATCGACACCATCATCACCCAGGACGGTAAGATTCTGGCTGTTCGTCGGCGTCGGACCTCGAGTTCTGCTGGACTGCATGTCTTTGGTTACGGGAAACCCCGTCGGACCTCCCTTCCAGCTCTCTCTAGGCACTGTTACGGACAGGTAAGACAGGTTATAAGTTGCAGTTTTGTAGGTGTATTCATGTTTTAGTGAAATACATATAGTGAAATACTCGACATTATCGTACTTCATATGGGAGTGAGCAAGATAGAAATTATATCTGGGAAGTATTAAGTAAAAATCCCAACTTATCATACAACAGATTTTTGATCTTAATATGTGAGACTTAACCCTTGTTCCCAGTTTTAGGTTCCATTAAATAGGTTGCGATTTCAAAGTGTCATAACTGTTCATAATCAACCGAAATATATTGTCAATTTCCGTTTGAAAATACACGGGCAAGAGAAAAATTACTTTGGGTATGTTACAAAAATAAACCGATTGCATTTAAACTAACAAAATATCTGTTTATCATCACTTCGGATTATCAACAACCTTGTGATATGAATAACAACTTCTGCTATCCCCCCCTCACTAATTCAATACAGGTGGTGCGATTGTATTTTTCGTCTAATGCAAATGGTAGTCGATACAATATTCGCTCGTAACGGAGTGCTTATTTAAACATGTATCAGTTGTTGATTTTTCAAACAGAGTTCTTCGTTTACATGAACTTCCGCCTTAACGAGACGTGTTCATGCAATGCAGCATACAAACTACGTGATAACTCGTTTGTTTTCTTTAGACGATCAGTGTTGTTATATGTACAATTGGGTTCTTACATACAACGCCCCCCCCTCTCACACATACACACACACACATACTTTAAACTCTCTCAGAATTAGTTTCATCTTCTGAAAGCCACTATCCAATGCCCATCCCCACTCCCCCAAAAAGGACGGTACATCACTTTATTCATAAAACATATAGTTCCTAAAAAGTAATTTGAAAATTGTAATACAGTCATTTCTATCAACCGTTGTTAATGTTTCTTCTCAACACTTAAGGCTTTATGGCGTTTAGAAACTACTGAAAGTTCGGTAGGTACGTGTGTTTGTAGGCAGAATAAACGTAACGAGTTCTCATTACACAGAAGTCTGTTAATAAGCGCAAAGCTACACTGTAGCCAGTGGAAGCATGAAACCCGATTTTTAGCTTTATCGTTTTATGAGCCCACAGACGTACTGCTGAGCCTCCAAATTGCTACACAGAAGTAATTAAGATGCACATGTCAGAGAATTAAATTTGTTTTTGTCACGTTAAGCAAATGATAAAAAGTTTCAAAAGCTTTGTTTACGATATTATATTTAATGCATTCCCAGTTTGAATTTGTCTATAACATGGTAGAAATATGTTAGTGCCACAGAACATTGGAAGATGCATGTTTCTAAATGAAATATTCGAAATTAGAAAATTTCAGTTCATGAAAACTTAAGCTCCAATACAACTTTCATATTTATGATTATGTAAGAAACATTTTAATTGTATATGTAAAGAAGCATTAGCAGGTTACTATATACAAAATTCAAATATAGTTGTTCGTGACTTTTGTTTATAGACCCACAGTTGTAATATATGCAGTAAAAACACGAAAGTGAGAAGGAAACTTAATGGTAGATGTGATTGTTGTTCTTTGACTGACACGTGTTGTTTAATCAGTACGTTTCTCCATTAGTTGGTAAATCCTATTAAATAAGTCATTCCACTCGAAACTGTATTCAACATAATTTGATACCAAATAAACTTAATACACAAATGGTAGTTACTTGCTAATTTCTAACCCTGAAATCACCGTAGTAGCCTTCCTCTGAACCCTCTACAATAAGTTTATCCTTTACGTAAGAAAGCACATTACGCTAATAAGCAGGCAAAAAACAAGTTATAAACACAAAAAAGTGACTTACTTATAGTAGAACATGCATGTTTCAAATTCAATTACTGATATATGAAATAAAGAAGAAATGAAAACAGTTAAGATTGTTTACAAAACATTACAATGATGGTTTTGGGATTTTGAAATAAAGATTGATAAGGATAGATAGTATATACTTAGCAAGCTGGATAATAACACAAAATAACTAAAAAGTCAATAATAACAAAGAGAACGTATTAAAAAATATTTAGTCTGAAAGTTTCTAATATCGATTCTTTTACACAATACTCTGATCAGGTTGTTATTAATTTTTCGACATAGATTTTAAATAATGTGGAGAGAAGAGCATTATCTGGAGCTTTACGTATTGGGTTACCACCTGTAATCTTGAGGGATACAGGTTATGTGGTAAGGTTTGAAACATTTTACTTTAAGTAAAACTATTTATACTTGGCCAAGTAGTAGCGAATCGTTTAGGAGTATTAGAGCACAAGTGAAAGGACTAGCTCTAGCATCTTTACATAAATACGAAAAAATAAACAACACTTGACTTATTTTTGGGAAGTTAAAAAAGGTTAAAGATAAAATTATACCAAAAACAGACAAAGGGAATGGAATTGTTCTAATGAGTAAAACAGATTATATCAATAAAGTTCAAGACATTTTAAAATATGAAACTAAATTTAAAAAACGGAGAAAGATTATATGAAAATAATAAAAACTGCTTTACTTTAAATCTAAAGAAACAAGGGTTTAATGTAAGAGAATGAATATAAATTGATAAGACTGACATCATGATACGCAAACATTTTATGTGAATTATCTAAAGTAAACAAGGAAGGATGTTCTTTAAGACCAATTGTATTTAATATTGGTACTTATACTTATGAATTTGTAGGCTTTCTTGTTAAAATATTAAGAATTAATGAATTCACTTATTGAGACAGTATTGAGTTTGTGGAAGAAATACAAAGCTTAAATTTTGGAAATACTATTTATTATGTTAACTTCGATATTGAGTCATTATTTACAAATATACCTTTGGAAGAAACGCTCAATATAGCTGTTAATTTGGTTTATAATCAGGATAACCAAAACAGATTTTCTAAAGAAGTACTTAGAAGGTTTTGGATTTAGCTACAAACAACTGTTTAATGAAGATATGTAGGATCAGACAAACAGAGTATTAGCTAATCTGTTCCTAATTTATCGTGATGGATGATTGTTCTGAAGAATTTAAACCTCTATATTACAAAAGATATGGATATGATACTTTATTTGTCTTTAAAGAGAAAGAACATGTACAAAGATTTTTGGAATGTTTAAATAGTAAGTATAAAAGCATACGATTTGCAGTAAGAATATTGAGAATATTTCTAGAGTATTAGCTGACAATGAAAATGGGATTTTTAAATGTGAAACATATCATAAGAAACCTTTTACAGGGTTATACTTTAATTATAATAGCATCATTCCTGTGTTATATAGGATCAAGTTAGTTAGGATTTTAGTACATAGAGCATCAACTCGCAATCTGAGGGTCGCGGGTTCGAATCCCCGTCCCACCAAACATGCTCGCCCTTTCAG